CAAAGGCCTGTATGAAGTTATTTTAATCTGGCCTCAGGGGAAAGAGTTGAGCACAGGGTCACCCTGCCCCCTTATGGATATTCCTGGAAACTGCACTCTCTCCCTGCTGCATCCCTGACCATTTTGCTGCTATTCATTCAATAAGCATTTATTAAGCTCCTGTTGTATGATAGATAGTAAAGAGGAAATGTGGCATGATGGATGTTACCAACCTTGAGTCAGGAGGCTCTGGGTTCAAGTTCTGCCTCTGACACATACTTGCTATGTGACCCTTGGTAATCTTAGTGTTCCAGACAACTCTCTAAGACTACAAATCTTAGGATAGGTAGGTACGTGGATCTGCATCATAGAGGGAATTACCACACCGGGAGTTCCCCATACCAATGGAATCACTGGTCCACTAAAAAAAAAATGTGCTGATCACTGTGGAGACAAGAAAACAAAGACAGAAACAAAACAGTCTTTGCACTCAGGCAGTTTATATTTTATTTCAAGGAAACACCATGAACACAGATAAGTAAATACAATGCATTTTGGGGTGGAGAAAATGAAGGCATTATCAATTTAGAGAAAGCCACTTGTCTCCTTATCCCTTCCTTCTCCCCACCAATTCCTGGAATAGGAATAATGCTCTATCCCATCCCCTTTAGCAGAATTTCCCAACAACTTAAAATAGTTGTGGTTCTAGGAATAGTGTGGGGCTGGCTATGAAAATTATTGAAGTGAAAAGTGTAGAAATCTCAGCCATCTTGATGTCCATGAGGCTACTCAAGGAGTGTGAACATCCATCACCACTCAGAACTTACACTGAAAGTTTAAGGCAGTGTGTAGGGTAAACACACATCACTCAGTACTTTCTTTGGAATTTAGAAGACACTGTCTCACCACATCTCAGACCCTCCCTGTACCACACTTGTGCACACACCCTTTTTTTGTTTATTTATTGGCTTTCAAATCAAGACCAAGACCATTTTCCACAGGATGCAAGTAGATGAGAAATCTAACTTAGTCTTTTTTTTTTTTAATTGAGAAATCCTGGTTTATACAGCATTATGCCCTTGGATAGAAGCCTCTGGGTAAGGCTTTTTTTTTTTTTTTGGCTCAAAAGCCAAAAATTCTTTGCTCTGTTTGTTCTCCTTACAGATAAATAGGCCTCCTTGGTAGGGTGCCATTTGGAAGATGCCTTCAATCTAGTCAACTGTGGTTTGTCTTTCCCTGGCACAGATGGAAGTTGTAAAGACAATTAGGACAGAAAATACTAATTCTAGTTCTGTGGTGAACACAGAGAGTGAGAAAGGAGCCAGTAGTGAAAGGAGTGAATTCTAAGATTGGATTTGAGAAGGAACATGGACAGAACAAGGGGCTAGAAGGCTGAAAGACCTGGGGTCCAGGACCGGGATTTGCTACTTAGTTATTCTATGACCTTAGAAGAGAGGTAGTGCAGTAGATTGGGCACAGGGCTTGGAATTAGGGAGACCTGAGTTCAGACACTTACAGCTGTGTGACCCTGGGCAAGTCATTAAAGCTCTCTGTGCCTCAGTTTCCTCATCTGTAAAATGGGCATAATAATAGCACCTACCTCACAATATTTTGGTATGAAGATAAAAGGAGTTAACACATGTAAAGCACTTTGTAAAGCTTAAAGCTCTACATAAATACTACTTATTCTTAAATAATTTAACCTCCCCAAACTTTCATTTTTTTAAATAGTATTTTATTTTTTCAATTACATATAAAGACAATTTTTAACATTCACTTTTTATAAAATTGAGTTACAATTTTTCTCCCTCCCCCCTTCCCCCCTCAAAGCTATTTGATATAGGTTATGTGTGTGCAATCATATAAAACCTATTTCCATATTAGTCATGTTGTGAAAGAAACAGTTTGTGAAACAATTATAGTGTGCAAAAGAAAAAAAGTGAAAAAAATAAAGAAAGTGAAAATAGTATGCTTCCATCTGCATTCAGACTCCATCAGTTCTTTCTCTGAATGTGGTTAGCATTTTCCATCATGAGTCTTTTGGAATTGTCTTAGATCATTGTATTGCCGAGAAGAGCTATGCCAATCATAGTTGATCATCATACAATGTTACCTTTCATTTCTTCATGGAGAGTTATTTAGTTGTTCAGTCATTTTGTAGTGATGTCCAACTCTTTGGGGTTTTCTTGGCAAAGTTACTGGAGTGGTTGGTCATTTCCTTCTCCAGCTCATTTTACAGATGAGGAAACTGAGGCAAACAAGGTTAAGTGACTTGCTCAAGATCACACAGCTAGTAAGTGTCAGGCCAGATTTGAACTCAGAAAGATGAGTCTTCTTGACTCCAGTATGGGCACTCTATCCACTTGTGCCACTTAGCTGTCTATGGAGAACTGAAATTTGCTCCAACTCCTTCTAGTGAAGGAGTTAGCTCTGACACTCTATGACTTGGTGAATCCAGACTTATTCTGCATTACTCCATTCCCACACTCTCTAATTCCACCAAACTGTCCTTCTTGATTTTTTTTTTGTAGTTTGAGGTTTAATTTAACACAAATAAAAATGTACAAAGCATTTTATTAATTTTCTCAAATGAGATAATATATGTAAAGTGTTTAGCACTGGGCCTTTGCTCATAGTAGGTGCTTAATAAATGCTTATTCCCTTTCTTCTTCTTCTCCCCTCCCTCGCCCCCAGCCCCTTCTTCACTCCTCAGTCTAGCATGTGGATTGGTGATCTTGATGGCCAGCTGAACTGCTCTCTCAACAAGGACGTTGTGATTTGTGCATCCATAGTTTCCTAAATCCACTGGGCAACATGTGGTTTATCTTCTTATTGCTTCTGTAGCCAATGTTGGGCATCAAGACCTGGCCCTTGAGTTATCTTTGAACCGTATTGTCAATGCGTCTGGGTTTATGCCAGTGTCACTTGATCTTGACCTATCGATCAGTCAGATGAACTTTTGGGCTCTCTTCTTGACTATTTTAGACTTCACAAGGGGTTTAAGGGTAGGCTTGTGGCTGGCAAAGAAATAGGAAAGAGAGAGAAGGAAAGACAAAGAGGAGAGGCTGATTTCCTTCTTGCTATTCTTCCCACACAACATACCATCTCCCATCTCCCTGACTTTGTTTTGGTTGCCTCCCATGCCTGGAATACACAACCACCTCCCTTCTACCTTTTGGTTTCCTTTAAACTCTGCTCAAGCACCACCTTTTTTTTTTTTAAGGCATTTGGGGTTAAGTGACTTGCCCAGGGTCACAGAGCTAGTAAGTGTCAAGTGTTTGGTCTGAGGTCAGATTTAAACTCAGGTCCTCCTGACTTCAGGGCCAGTGCTCTATTCACTGTGCCACCTAGCTGCCCCCAAGCACCACCTTTAACATGAAGTCTTTCCTAATCCTATCAGCTTCCAGGGCCCTTCTCCCTGCCCTATCACCATTGCCCCACAAATTTACGTTACATTTATTTTGCATATATTTTTTAATGTATTTGCTAGCTCCTTAAGGTCAAGGGCTATTTCATCTTTGTCTTTGTGTACTCAGGGCTTCATAAATGCTTGCTAATTGATTAGTTGATTTACTTCTTATAGTCAGAACAATTTCCATTACATTTTTTGAAGACTGAAATCTGTTACATTAAAACCCCAACCTGTCTGTGACTCTATGTTATCGGAATAAAATAGAAGAATGTGTTGTTGTTCACAGAGCCCTATGTTGCTCTCTCAGAAGCATAGCCTGAGCCCATTGGCCCCACTCTAGAATCTCCAGTAGGATCCCAGTTATATAGATAGATTTCAGGCATCAAGATAAGGCAGGATTGTGTAGAATTCCTGAATCAGAGACCATGCTGCCCAATCCATGCTTATGTGAAATGCAGGTCTATCAGTCAGTAGAATGTATATTTCTTGAGGGCAGGGACTGTTTTGCAGTGTTTAATAAGTATTTGGTGAATTGTTGAATTGAATGATATCCACAAAACATGTAATAGTCACCCCAGTATAAGTTAGCTCCTTGCTGGTTTACAATATGATTCTCTGAAATCATCTCCCCCTACTCCTTTGTAGAAGCCAGGGATCCACAACTGTGGAACATTGCACAGAATGTCAGCTTTTAACGTATTGAATGTTTCTGTTAAATTTTTTTCTTTTCTTTTTCTTTTTTTAAAAAAGTCTTTGTTATAAGGTGTATATATATATATGTATATATATATATATATATATATACACTTATAAACTTCCTTCTCTGAAGGAGAAAGGGCTATAAAGGCAAAATGAGGGTGGTATAAAAACAAAAGATAACAAGAAAAATCTATTTCTTTGGGGAAAAAAAAACACAACCCCTAAAATGACTTTCTAGTGCAAGAGTTTTTAACCTGGGGTCTGCAAACTTGCTTTAAAAAAAAATTTTAATAATTGTATTTCAACATAATTGGTTTCCTTTCTAAGTATATCTATTTTATGCATTTAAAAATATTCAGAGAATGGATCAGTAGGCTTCATCAGACTGCCAAAGAGTAATACCAAAAAATGCTCAAGAACTCTTGCCAAGTCAGCACAAGATAGCACTCCACAATTACAGTATGGCCTGACTGCCCATAGGTATGTATTAGTGAGAGGTAGCTTTTTTAATTGAACTGAGATCCAGCCTACCAAAGTGTGGAGGCCCATAACCAGAAAGTTGGCCAACAGGTGATGAGAGGAAGGGGAAGACCTATGTACAAGCCAATGGAGAGCATGGAAAGTGAGGGAGAGGTTGGAGGAGCCTAAAGAATCATAACAATAACAATAATGGAAAGAATCCCTGAAGTGAGTGTGTGTGTGAATGTCTGTGTGTATGAGGGTTCCTTATAAAAGAAAAGGAAAAAAAAAACAGTAGCAACCTTGTCAAACTTTTTGGACTGGCTCTCTGGGGGAATTCCCTAACCATCTTCAGGATTAGTTGGTACCTGATCAACTTTATGTAGAAACCAAGACGGATACACAGCTGTGAACATAGGCTTACAGGATCATGTTACCTTTTTGGTTTCAGGCCGTCCTCTTCCATCCAAGGAAGTGCCTGCTGGGGACTATCCATTCATAGTCACAGCTGATGATGGGCGGAAGGTCCCAGTTGTTCAAGCCTATGCATTTGGAAAATATCTAGGGTATCTACAGGTTGAATTCAACAATGAAGGAAATGTAGTCACATCACATGGAAATCCTATCCTCCTTAACAGCAGCATCCAAGAAGGTATGTGAGATCGGGGACCTGGGATGGGTCGGGGATTTTGTCAAATCCTGAGAAAGAAAAGACAGACTATTTTTCCTGCTTTGTTTAGTACAAAACAGAAATGCTAGAAATCTATTAAGAAATCTAATTCTTGGGGCAGCTAGGTGGTACAGTGGGTAGAGCACAGGCCCTGGAGTCAGGAGGACCTTCAAATTCAGCCTGAGACACATAACACTCACTAGCTGTATGGCTCTGGGCAAGTCACTTGGCAAGTCCCCAATTGCCTCACCAAAAAAAAAAAATCTAATTCTTCCAGATCACTGAAATCCCTCTTCCTCTCTGATAGCTACACCTGCTGCTTTCTTCCACCTTTTAAAAATGTTTAACTTAGTTATTGAAAATGCACTCACTTCCAGTTGATTTTTAGCTGATTTTTTTCCAGGTAGATAGTAGTATCACCACCAAGGAAGATAAATGTTTAGATAACATGATGTAACTTTTCACTTAGCACTGAAAAGTCTAAGAGAACCATCGCATGACTGGCATGGCCAGCATCTGGTATGAAGCCACTGGTCCCCAGTAAAGACAGAGTATCACCTGTTGGTTTTTCATATTTAAATGTTTTTCTTGGTTTTAGTTTTTATGTTCTTGGAGTTTTTTGGTACTCTTATCTTCACACTCCCAGCCCACACAAATTAGTTGACTATGACCAGTTTTTATAAGACAAATTGGGATGGGCAACATTACCTTGAGAGCACAAGTTTATAAACTTCCCATCCTTCAATTTATCAGAGAACCAAGAACTAAGTGATCAGAAGGTGCAAACTCTACTCACTCACAAGATTTCTAATAATTTAGAGACTAGAAAAGCTTACATAAAAGGCTGGATTTCAGTACCTCCTAACTTGTCCCAGAAGTCAATAGACTGCCCCAAAATGGTAGTAAGTCCATCTGCACATTTTGACTACCAGACCCTCTGCCTCCTAAATCCCTCTCCATCCCACACAGTGGGTGTATCCACAGTCTTCACGCTCATTAACCCTGTTACTCCCCCTACCCCACGTACACACTCCCCAGCCCTTCTGTACACCTCCATACCCCACACACATCCTAGCCATAGGTGAAAATTTTTCTACTGGGCTGTTGATCGTTGTTTTCTTATTTTCCTTTCATAACCTGCACCTCTCTTCCCTTTCTCCCTCCTCACATCCGCTGTCTAGAAAAGTGAGGAGCAGGGGACAAGATGACAGTTGGTCCACAATGGGGGTGGTAGTAGGATCTGTCTGTCCTTGCTCAGGGGCCTGCTATGCCAGACATTTTCCATTTTCTGTACCTTCCCTAGGCACCTCGAAACATGAAAGGAGGAAGGGAGAGTGGAGTATACACTAGAGCTGTAGCTATAGCAGTAATGCATAACAGGAAGGGGAGCCAGGAGCAAAAATTTCTCCTGTCCTTTTTCCCACTTGCGGGAGCAGGGTCCAGTTGATAGCATTAATGTTGTTCAGTTATTTCAGTTGTGTCTTACTCTTTGTGACCTCGTTTGGGGTTTTCTTGGCAAAGATACTGGAGTGGTTTGCCGTTTCCTTCTACAGTTCATTTTACAGATGAGAAAACTGAGGCAAACAGGGTTAAGTGACTTGCCCGGGGTCACATAGCTGGTAAGTGTCTGGGGCTAGATTTGAACTCAAGAAGGTGAGTCTTTCTGACTTCAGGCCTGGCACTCTTTGCACTGTGCCACCTAGCTGCCCTGACAGCACTAATAACACCAGGCAAACATTGCAGATCCCTTTTTTACTTATTGTAGGTACCATTGTCTCTCCCACCATTTCTTCCCCCTTCCCTTCTTCTTGTCCCATATTTCTCCTCTCCCATATGCCTAGTGCTTGCCAAGGGAAGAAAGCTTTGCATAGTGGTGTAGTGGAAACACTGGATGGTGGAAGGAAAGAAGATAAGAAGGGAACAAGCATTTATAAGTACCTTCTACATGCCAGACACTGTGCTAAGCACTTTACAAATATCTAGTTTTACCCTCACAAAAACCCCAGGAGATAATTGAATATAAATATAAAGAAACTGAGGCAAATAAAGGCTAAGTGACTTGCCTAGGGTCACATAGCTAGTAAGTGTCTGAATCCAGATTTGGACACAGGTCTTCCTGTCTCCAGGCCCAGAACTCTATCCACTTGTACCACCCAGATGCCCCTCTCAGAAGATCCAGATTTAAGTCTTGGCTCTGACATTTACTAGCTGTGTAAAGCCAAGCAAGTCACCTCATTTCTCAAGCCTCAGTTCCTTCATCTGTAAAATGGGATCATAAGATCACAGATACACATCTAGTTCAAACCCCTTGTTTTACAGATAGTGGAGTGGATAGAGAGCCAGCCTCAAATCAGGAAGTCCCACATTCAAGGGTCCCCACTGATACATACTGGCTCTGGTTTTTGTTTGTTTTTGTTTTTTGGCTTTCTTTAAGTCTCAACTAAAACCCTACCTTCTAGAGGAAGCCTTCCCCAATTCTATTTAATTCCAGTGCCTTCCCTCTGTTTATTATTTTCTATTTATCCTGTATATAGCTTGATTTGTACACATTTATTTGCTTGTTATTTCCTATAATGTTGGGGCATTTAGGTGGTACACTGGATGGAGAACTAGGCCTGGAGATAAGAACCTCTGAATTCAGATCCAGCCTCTGATACTTACTGTGTGACCCTGGGCAAGTCACTTAGCCACTACCTGTCTCAGTTTCCCCATCTGTAAAATAGGGATAATAATACCACCTACCTCCCAGGGTTGTTGTGAGGGTCAAATGAGATAATAATTGTATAGCACTTAGCATGGTGCCTAGTACATGGTAAGTACTATATAAACGTTCGCTATGATAATGATGATGATGATGAAGATGATGGTGGTGGTGGTGGTGGTGGTGGTGTCTCCCCCATTAGACTGTAATCTCCTTGAGAGCAAGGATTGTCTTTTGGCTCTTTTTGTATCCCTGGTACTTATCACAGGGCCTGGCATATAGTAGATACTTAGTAAATGTTTAGTGAGCGATTGATACTAATTATGAGACAAACGAAAAGGAATTTCAGTAAAGCATTACATATTAACAGCATTCTATTCAAAAATAACAATCATTCTTCTCATTATGTGTACTGCTTTACTCTGATTATATCCTCTACATGTGTGTCCCTGATCCATCTGATGGAGCTACCATCAGATACCGTCAGTTTCCTCATTAAGTCTGCATGCCTCAGGCTGAGCTTTACTTTGGATTAACTGGATCCCATGCTTCCAAGCCCCAACCATCAATCACAATATACCCTGTAGTGTTCCTGAGCCAGGTACTATCAGACTATAGGATGTTTTTTAGTTTTGCCAGCTCTGACTGATTGAAAGGCAGAATATCTATTTTCAAAGTTTTTATCGTCCAGAATTACAAGGCTCAGCCTTAAAATCTCTTAATCATGGAACCGTCAGGTTTACTTGCACCTTGGTTGTTTCCAGCACTTTGATGACTCTAATCAGCCTTTTTAAAATGACATTTAAATGACATAACTATGCCAACAGGCACATGATGATCAGCCTGATTTGAGCTCAAGAATCAGACCTGGTGTAAGATCTATGAACCAACTCTAACCACAGGATTTGCTTCTCTTCTAGATCCAGGAATAAAAGCAGAAATCGACAGGTGGAGGGTAAAACTGGACAATTATTCTAAGCAGGAGTTAGGGAAAACCATTGTTTATCTGAATGGCTCTACACAATCCTGCCGTTTTAGGGAATGCAACATGGGGAATTTGATTTGTGATGCTATGGTAAGTGATGCCTCCAAAACCACCAATCCCTGATTTTGGTGTCTTGTGATTTGCAATTGAAGTGTGTGGCATTGAGGAAGTTTCCTTTTAGATATGTGTGTGTGTATGTATGTATGTGTTTTGTGTGTGTGTGTATGTGTGTGTGTGTGTGTGTTTTTGCAGTAACCTACAAATAAATTCAGGGCATTGTGCCAGCCTGGTAGCCCGGTGTGAGTGTTCATTGGCACTTCAGTTGGGCTCTCATTGAGCACATCCAGAAAGATATATTAGTGGTTATGGAAGTAGGGTCATTGCTATTTAGGACATAAGTAAAAAAAAATTACATCCATTTGAGAACTTGATATTGGTTGTCTAAAAATTAGAAAAGATTTGTTTTCCATTTTTAAAAATTATCTAAACATACGCAAAAGTCCTATCTGAATACTACATAGGCATTGCTTGGACTTAAATTGGTACTAAATCCAAAAGTCAACTGGTCCACCCAGTATTTTTGTGCTACCTCTGTGGATTTGCTTTCAGAAATTCCTTTGCTTAATTGAAGAGTAGCAATTTGCACAGATGTAAAATTTTAAACAAGAAAGGGTAATTTTTCTAGTAAAAATGTTGTAGCTGAAGAAATAGGGGACTATGGGTTTGGAACACTGCATATGTCAACCTTTTTTCAATGCTCTGGTTAATTTTGCTAAACTTTTTCAAGTTTTTTGTTTTGGGGGTTTGCTCTTTTTTATTCATTGTTATTAGGGCTAACTGTTGGGGAGGACAGGAAAAAGATACATTGGTAAATGTAGGTGTGTTAAAAACAAGATAAATTATTATCAATTAAAATATACTTCATTTTACACTTTCTAAACATAAAAATAATTTTTTTTGTTGCTGGAGAAATGTCAGCAAGATCATATAGCTTAACTTTCCCCCTCTGAAAATAACAAGCCCATGCTAACAGCCAAGCAATAATACCTCCTCTCCATTAAGGAGCTAGCCTAGAACATAAGAACAGTGAACTGGGATTCAGAAGGCCTGGTTCTACCTCTTAGTAGCTCTGTGGGCAAGCCACAACTTCTCTGAGTCTCAGTTTCCTCGGTTTTAAAATAACGAGAGGCATTAGACCTGTGATTTTATTGGCATAGAGAACTTCCACTTGAGGAAACCCCCCCCACCCCCAACCAATGAAGATTGGCATCTTCTTTGCAACTTCTAGGATGTAAAGAGTTATCTAGAACACTGAGGTCTTGAGTAACTTGCCCAGGGTCACAGGCACTAGGTATCAAAGACAGCATTTCAACTTAGGTCTTCTTGGTTTCAAGACTGGTTCTTTATTCAGTATGCCCAGCTGCCTTTCAGCTGTAAAGGAGGCATAATAAAATTATGCTACCTACCCCTCAAAATTGACATTAAGGAAAAGGTTTTGTAAATGGCTAATGTGCCACATAAATGAGAACTCATGTTAGAACCAAAGTCTCTCTGGTTAGAGCTCTCTTTGCTCATAAAACACTCATTGACTCCCCAAACACAGTGACCTCAATGATGCATCTTCTTTGTCTGTTAGTTTCATCCTTTGTAAGATGGGAATACTCCCCAGTGCCACAGAAAGCTAAGACTGTAAGTGCCAGATGAGTTTCTGATTTGTGTTGATGAAGAAAGAATTTCCACATCAAAGATATTGCAGGTTTGGACCAAAAAAAAAAAAACCATAGCAAATCAATGAGAATAATACCATACCTATCAACATCATTAGTTCAATGTAAGATTTACCTCACTAGACTTAAAAATTCTGATAAACGCAATGACCAATCATGATTCCAGAGGACTGACAGAAGCATGCTACCTACTTCCTGACAGATGTGATAGACTTGAGATGCAGAGTGTGACATACATTTTTTGGATATAGTCAATCTAGGAATTTGTTTAGCTTGACAATATATTTTTATTGCACATATTTTGTTTTTCTTTTTCTTTTTCCCAAGGGAAAAGGAGGTGGGAAGAAAGTGAGAGAAAAATGATCAAATTAATTTTCTTTAAAAAGAATTAACTAGATAGACTGATTACCCCTTATGTAAAGGAAAAACATATGACTCTTGAGCACAGAACAGAGAGTACCTACAGAGTTCATAACTACAGAGAACCTGAGAGCTGGCATCCTATGCTCATGATGGCCCTATCTCTTTCTTTCCTGAGATTTACCTGGTAGAAGTAGCATTATGATAGCACCTTTATTAGAATGCCTGAGGATTCAGCCAAGACCTTTGTGATCCCACATGAAGAATGAGCAGATTAGTCATGTAGAGAGCTCATCCAACTGTAGGCCTGGCAGAAATGAAGACTTGGAGGATGTCCATTAAGTTGGCTTAACTCTAACCCAGGCTGAGAAGGGGAACTGAGTGCATGTGATGGAGTTTCCTCAGAGGAAGGCGCAGAATATGCCGTTATCTGCCTTGACTCCTCAGAAGAAGGCATTGAATACAAAATATCAGATAAGAATCTAATCCTGTAAGACTGTAAGCTGCTTGAGAGCATGTTTTTGTCTTTGTATCCCTAGTGCTTAGCATTGAAACATCGTAGGTGTTCAATAAATGCCGATTGACTTGACTTGAAGACGAAAGTCAGTTATTATCTGGATTCTTCAGGTCAGTAGAGTTATCACCTAAAGGAATAATTTATTGAACCCTAAGGGCCTGAAAGTATTCAGGTGCCTCCTCAGACTGAGTAGAATTCTTTTTTTCCATTCTTAATCACTGTTTCTAAAGAAAACATAAAGGTCTTCCATATTAACTGGAGAGTGTTATTTTTTTAGGCTTTGGAACTCTTACTAGGCATTTCTTCATAAATCTCTTTGATTCTATTCAACAAGCATTCATTAAGCACTTACTATGTGCCCAGGCCCTGGGATTTATGTTGGTGGTAAAACAATAAAAATTAAAGAGTACAGCCCTCCAGGGCAATGCCCCCATTCTACTGGGAGGAAACAGCATATACACAAATAAGTATGTATGAAATAATTTCAGTAGCTAGAATGGGGGAAGAGTGTGGAATCAGGAGAAGATTTTTGTAGGAGGCAGAGCTTGAGCTGAGCCTAGGAGCTATGGGTTCCAAAAGGCAAGGTGAAGAGGGAGAGCACTCCAGGAGTGGGGCACAACCTGGGCAAAGGCAACTGGGGCAGGCTAATAGAGGAAGGCTTCTAGAAGGAGCAAAATTAATTTAGCTTCCAAGTTTTGTGCCAGATGAGTTTCTGGGGTCGTCACAGAGGAAGAAAATGCGAAAGTGTTTGAGATCATTTTGTGCTCCTGTTACAGATTAACAACAACCTTAGACATCCTGATGAAATGACTTGGAACCATGTTTCCATGTGCATCCTGAACTCAGGAGGCATTCGAGCCCCCATTGATGAACAGAACAATGGTATATTCTTCCAGCTGGCTTTGTGTCTTGGGAATGTGGTTCATCTTGTCGTTACTGATGATGATTTTATTCTGGAGAGAGCTACCTAACTTCAAAAAATTCAACCTCAGAAGCATCATAGGACTTAAAACTGAAAAGGACCTTAGAGCCAAGAGCTTTTCATTCCAAGTATTTCCTCTTTGGCATCTAATAATAATACTAGCTAATATTTATATAGTGCTTACTATCTGCCAGGCACTGTGCTAAGTGCTTTATCATTATTATCTCATTTGATCTTCATAAAAACCCTGGGAGGTAGTTGCTATTGTTATCCCTATTTTACAGATGAGGAAATTACTAACAAGAGGTTAAGTGACTTGCCCAGGGTCATGCAGCTAGTGTCTGAAGCCAGATTTGAACTCATTTTCCTGACTCCACTGCACCACCTAGCAGTCCCAACTAACAGAAAAAAGAGGACAGTTATATTTCTGGGGGAGTTTAAAAGCTGGGCCATGTTGCCCAAGGACAGAGAGTATAACTAGAGGCCCTCCCAGAGCTCCTTTCCATCTTTAGGAATGTGTGACTCATGATCATTCCTATCCCCCCTGGCACTAAGGAGATGTTCATTTGGGGTTTTTTCCAACTGACCCTCTGTTGATGTCACTTGTGATCCCTCTGCACAGGTACAATCACATGGGAAAACCTCGCTGCTGTGTTGCCCTTTGGGGGCACTTTTGACCTAATTGAGTTAAAAGGCTCCACTTTGAAAAAGGCCTTTGAGCACAGCGTGCATCGATATGGCCAATCCTCTGGAGAATTCCTGCAGGTGGGCGGTAAGTTTTGTACCCTCTCCATCCTGCCTGTGCTGAGCCTGAGATCATAATTTTAGAGCTTAGAAGGTGGACTCTCAGATCTAGTGTATCCTTCTCATCTTGCAGATGAGAAAACTGAGGCCAGAAGAGGCAAAGTGATTTGCTCGTGGTCATGACCCATGATGATAGGAACTTTAGATCCAGACTCATCAGCTCAGTTCTTTTTCTACTACACCATACACCTCCGGCCTGTGACCTCTAAACCAGGCTCTCTGCTGTCAGTCCACCTTGTGACTGGCCTTTCTTCTTTGTCTTTCTCTTGCTTGTTATACAGAGGAGATCCTGCCACATTAAATGAGGCAAAGCTCCAGGCTGTGATTGTAGGGAATGTTTATTGGTGTTCCAGGGTCTCTCCTCTGAGCTGGCACCCCAAACTTGGCATAAGTCAACTTTATTTACAAAAGGACCTTTTTTAATGCTGTACATCCCCAGAGAAAGAATTGATGGTGTCTGAATACAGATTGAAGCATACTCTTTTACTTTATTTTTCTTGAGGTTTGGGTTTTTGGTTTGGGTTTTTTTGTCTATGTTTTCTTTCACAGCATGACTAATATGGAAATGTTTTGCATGACTACATATGTATAACCCATATTAAATTTCTTGCCCCCCTCAATGAGAACGGGTAGAGAGGGAGGAAGAGATTTGAAACGCAAAGCTTTGAAAACTAATGTTAAAAATTGTTTTTACATGTAACTAAGGAAAAATAAAATACTAAATAATTTTTTAAAAGTAAGTTTAAAAAGGAAAAATAACCTTTTTTAAAAAAAATTCAGGGTTTTAAAAAATGTAAGTTCATATGAACGATATCAAGATCATAAATTCTTAAGGAATATCTTATCTAATCCCCTTGTTTTATAGATAGGGAAACTGAGATCCAGGATATTAAGTGACTTGTTTAATATCACACAGTAAGTGACCAAACTGGGATATGAACTCATGTCTTCTAACTCTTAATCCAGAGTTTTTTTCACTATAACACAGCAGCATTTCAAAATCACTGGGTGATGTTTTAAAATCCAGTGTTCTCTCTTTCTTTTCAAAGTTCACATTAATGATCCCATTCCCTTATTTTGTTCATAATTATCAATGACAAGGGGATTCTCTCCAGATTGCCTGTGATACCTAGTTAAAAGGGAGAGGAAGAAGGATGGAAACTGATTTCATCACAGGTGAGAGAACTCTGTTAACCAATACAGTCTCACGTTAATAGTCTCAGGGAGTTAGTACAAAAACATCGAGTGATCTGAGAAGCTGCTGAAATATCCATCCCCTGATGTCTTCCTGAAGAGAAACCAGGAATCGGTCTCTCTTTTGTGCCTTAGACTGGTTTGCCTGCCTTCATGATGCTGCAGGATTTGCTGCCTCCTCTTTGGGGCTGTTTAATGTACTCTCCCCTTGGTACTAGGGAGCAAAGCCCACTGCAAATGATGGAGACAGGGCCAGGCGGTTGGTGCTCCCCTGGCCTCAGATGCTGGACATCTCCCCTCCTCCTTTGCTCTTGGGACAGATAACGAGCTCAAACCCTGCCCCAGCGGAGGCCACCTGGACTGTTTTCTAGGATGGAGCCGCTGGTGGCCTAAGGTCTGTTTAAATGCCCTCTCAGGTTGTCCTGGCTTTCCAACTGTTTCTTTCGGGTTGGAAGTTCCTTTAAAACCTGAACTTTCCAGCAAAGAAAAAAAAAGACAGTGAAAGGTTAAATGAGTCAGCCAGGATCACATAAACGTACGTGTCAGAGGTAGGATTTTAAACTCAGGTCTTCATGGCTTTGAAACTGGCTCTCTCTATCTGCGATAAAACACTGCAGTCTGTCTCTCTGTCTCCCTCCCTCCTCTCCTCCCTTCACACACAGATATGTATATATACATTTAGTCTCAGTTTCTGTGTGCGTGTGTGTGTATATATACACACAGTCTCAAAAGTCTTAGTGCAGCTTAGATTTTAATAAGCTTAAACTGCGTTAAGATTTTGGGGACACACTATAGATATTTAAATTTTTATTACCATATTTTATTTTTACATCATCCTCATTTCACTTATATTCCTTCCTTTCCCCTACCCAGAGAGTCATTCCTTATTAGCAAGAATAAAGAAAAAAAGGAGTGTTTCAGCATAACTAACCAACATATCAACCATGTGTGAAAGTATAAACAATGTTCCATATCCATAGCTCCCACACCCTACCTCTGCAAAGAAATGAGGGAAGTGAATTTTTTTTTCTTTTGAGGATCAGATTAGTAGTTATATTTACTAGCATTAAGAATCAGTAATAATCATATAATATGGAATTAACAATTCCATATAATAACAATTTGTTTTTCCATTTACATTTTTAGTAGTCACTGGGTACATTGTTCTCCTGGTTCTGTTTACTTCTTTCTGCATTGGTTCATATTTCTTCCTATGATTCTCTGATTCTTTTGGTTTTATTATTTTTTATTTCACATACCACAATTTGTTTAGCTATTCCCTTTTGTGCACTTCTAATCACAATCTCACTTGGAATAGTTGTGCGTTTCCCTCCTCCCCTATCCTCCAGTGCAATTTCCATTCAAGACATTGTCTAACTTACATTCTTCAGAAACCCCTGGATCCAGCAGTAACTTAAATACACATTTCTTTCCTAGGAATCCATGTAGTATACGATCTGAAACAAAGCCCTGGGCATAGAGTGAGTAGTATAGATGTCCTTTGTACCAAGTGCCGAGAGCCAATTTATGTACCTCTCCAAATGGATGAAGTCTACAAGATTGTCCTCCCAAGCTTTCTCGCTGAAGGAGGGGATGGATTCCAAATGATTAAAGATGAATCCTTGAAGCATGATTCTGGTAAGCCCAAGTACCGTTTTACTCTCAGCACACCTTCACGCACACATGGAAAACAGTATTTTGTGAAGACAGGCGGGACGGAAAAACCAGAAGCAGATAATTAGCCTGCACTGGGGCTAGACTTAGCTGATGGCTAAGTTATTTAGGTTAAGAACAAAAAATCCACATGCAAACCAATTGCTGATATTTAAAATTCGCCAAGTTCTTCACCTACATTGTTTTTTGTTGTTGGTTTTTTTTTTTTTCATTTAAACCTCACAATAACCCTGTGAGGGATCATTATCTTCATTTCACAGAATCATGGATCTGGGGCAAGAAGGGCCCTCAGGAGTCATCTAGTCTGAGCCCCTCATTTTAAAAGAAAGCTGAGGCTCAGAGAGATGATATGGCTTCCTGAGGTCACCTACCTAACAGATGTTAGAGGCAAGAGTCCTTCTGATTCTAAGTCCAACATGATTTCCACTATTCCAAACTTGTCTCTGAAAAGCCAAGTTTTCCTTTCTAGGTAATCTTGCCTTGTATTTTAGCATAAATAAGTTATGTCAGGTGGAGAGATAATGACAAAAAGAATGTCTCTTTTTTCCCCCCAAGCTTTGTTCTAATGAAATACCATGAGAATCAATCCATCAACAAACATCTGTTACACACCTACTATGTGCCAGACACTGTTCTAAGCACTAGGAATACAAATTGAAAAGTAATATAGTTTCTGCCCCAAAGCAGCTTACATTCTAATGGAAGAGAAAATATGTACCTATAGTAAAACATGCCAGATATATACAAAGTAACTTCAAGAAAGCAGTATTGAGAGGGCACTTAACAGGTGGGGGAATCAACAAAGGTTTTTATGTAAAAGGTGGCACTTGAACTGGAAAAAGAAAAAGAGATGTGCCATTTGAACTAAAATTTGGTTTCTAAGAGAGGAGTGGAAGGAAAGAGGAAGTAGAGTACCATAAGGAGTGACCTTGATGCCAGGGATCATTCCATGATTGGAAAGCTGGTGGTGTGTGCAAGAGGGAGGAAGTGGTAAGGGAGAAAAGAACAAGTTGAAAGGAGAAGGAAACATGAAATCTAAGTCCTGTAAGTTCTATTCCACTAATAGTGGAAGGTTTTTCATGCCCTTCTCCTTCCACCATCCCCAGGGGTTCTACTCAACCCCAAATCTTCCAGGCCCAGGCTAAGGGATATTAGGAATTTTATGGGCTACAACTTCTGGCCAGAGAGAACACCCAAAAAGTTGACTGAACCCACCAGGGTCAAGACAAACATACCATTTCGGTTTGCCACACCACTCTTACCAATCTGCCTTGCTCTGTGCTCCTCTGCCTTGCCTATGTATTTCCATATCTACAGGCAAAGTCTCAATAGTACATAGAGGATCAGCTTCAAGGTCAGAAAGACCAAGGTTCGAATCTTGTCTCTGACCTACACTAGTTCTGTGACCATGGAAGGTTACTTAACCTCTCAGTGACCCGAGCAACTTTCTAAGACTGAAAGTTACAGCGGAACTGCTGTTCTACATTGCTGGATAGAATTATCATACCAGGAGTTTCCTACACTGATGTAATCCCAAGTCAGGGATACTCAGTGACAACACATTCCTTATATCTGAACTATAGACTTTCCCAAGTATAATTCTACTGTGGTCACTACAATTATCTATCTATCTATCTATCTATCTATCTATCTATCTATCTATCTATCTATATATATATATATATATATATATTTGTAGTCAAATTGCATTGATCTGCCTTCCCCCTTTCTCCTTTTGGAGGTCAAACTACCACATTCTCTCTTGCCCAGCTTCATTTTATGGATTAACTCATGACCCCATAAAGGGGTCAAGCAAGAGAAGTCCCCTTTCTCCTCTCTACATATTTAACCTTGGCCTAGCTATTTACTGCCCATATCCCTACAGGAAGGAGAGAAGAGGCAATGATGGTAATTACAGTCTTCTCCACTCTTGTCTGTCTCTGCCCTTTTCAGGTGGGCAAACTTTTCTTAATAGCTTAATCCCAAGAATTGGAAGACTGATCCAGTTTCCACTATATTTCTAAGGTTATGGAAATCCTTCTTCAATGTCTAACCCTTTTCCTCCCTTATTCTTTTTTGCTGCCTGTCATTTTCTTTGTGTTTGTTTTCTAGGTGACCAAGATATCAATGTAGTTTCTGAATACATCAACAAAATGAGGGTGGTTTATCCAGCAGTTGAAGGCCGGATCAGATTTTCTTCAGGCAGTCACCTTCAAGCAAACCTCTTCATCTTCTCTGTCATAGCTTTGGCATTGAGTTTGGTTCTTTACCAGTAACTGAGTTTTTTCGTGAAATTTATAGGCATGGGGGAAAAAAACTGATTGCTCTACAAGTGTTAAAAAAAAACAAACACCAAAACTTTGGACAGTGGTTAAGGTTCTGATTTGTGCTCAGTTACCTACCATTATGAAAGTACAGAAGTCTCCTTGAAGCTAATGAAGTTTCCTGAATACTGTAACAACTCATTAATTCAGGATGGAGGGTAGGTTCGGGGAAGGACTGAAAAGCAGTGGACAAACAAGAAAAGCACAAGACAATAGGTGTCCCACACTAAGGTTACTAAACTTTATAGTTTTTATGCCTTAGGATTCAATGGGTAACAAAATAGCAAGAAATACTAAGTTGGTACAACTTCCTAGGCAGTTTAAAATATTTAGATATTTTAAGTCAAGTAAAAATCGTCTTCCTTTTCAATACCCAGTCCAGGATGTCACTTCCAGAAGTGCAGATAATTTCAGGGAGATGTTTCTCTCATCAGTTGGTCTGTCTAGGGCACTGAAAGCATTGTTTTTGAGCTATCCTTATTCAGTGTCCTTAGGGTTTGAAGAAGGTAGTGCATATCTTGTCCAGTTCATGTGATGCAAGTTCCAGGACAATATTTTCCTTTTTTGAAAAAAGGCTTTGGATTGGAGTGGCAGTGTGGTATAGTGAATATCCCTGGAGTCAGGAAGAATTGACTTCAAGTCCCACCACTGACATACTTAGCTATGTGACCATGTGCAAGTTATTTAACTTCCCAGTGCCCTGGGCAGCTTCCTAAAATTTTAAAGTATGGATTTAAAGTACAAAAATTTAAAGTACAAATTTTAAAGTAAAATCTTAAAGTCTAATCTGCTTTGGTAGAGGGAATTTTCACACCAGAATTTCCTAGTGTGAAAAAAATTGGACCTTTTTTTTTTGGAGACTTTTCATTACATTTCATTTGGATGTATATATATATATATACACACACACATACATATATATGTATATATATACATACATATATGTATATATATATTCACACACACACATACACATACATACATACATTCACACATATATATGCATCTAAGCAATTGCATGTGATTAGTGAAGAATAGATATTTCAAGTAGGCTTGAAAACAGGCCTGTACCCATTCTCAATGAACACATGCCAAGTTTTTAAAGACAGAATCATACTGATGAAAATTTTTGGCATCCTTCTAGAAACATCAGTTTTGCCCCAGTTGTTTTTCTCAGTTGGGTGAATTTTATGAACTAAATATGTGGAAATGTGCCTATCTGCATTGTCTGGCTCCTTTTATCAAAGAACATAACAAGTTGCCTAGCTCTCTGCTTTGGCAAACTAAATAGAAGATACAAAAAGAAGCTACAGCAGGGAGAAACAGGGTAAAAAAAAGGAAAAGCTGAATCATTGAGGACAGATCCACTGCATAGAGTAGAAAAGTATGTCCCCAGAGGTTAAGTATTTGCTGAATGATGCTACTCACCAGTGAGCCTGATAAACAAAATAGAGACCGATGGTTTGTAGTCTTTCAATGACCCAGTTTCATTTATGGGTGCAATAAGATGTCTCAGAGGAGTTTCCTAGCAAGACTGAACCTAGGTTATCCCTAGGTTTCTTATCCCGGGCCCTTAATTCTCTAAGGAAGAAAGTTCCATCCAACCACAGTAGTCTATGGTCTTGGTCTGGTGTTTGTTTAACCAGTGTGCTCAAGCTATATTAGAATAAATTGTTGTGATCAAATCCTGTGTCCATTGTTGCAAACCTACAGTTAGGATTAAGTACCAAATTCATCTGGTAGGAGATATTCAAAAGTGGACAGTATGAATAACTCTTAGGACATATAGGATCAGATTTAGGGCTATGACTTTAGAGATCATCTAGGGTCAACCCCCTCACTTTACAGACAAGGAAACTGAAGGCTAGAAGTGGAATGACTTGCCCAAGGTAAAAAAAGGAATAAATGGCAAAAAAAAAAAAAAAAAAGTTTTTTCTTTTCACTCCTCCTTCTCATAGTGGAAGTACCAGGAGAGTAAAACAACTTTTAAAAAGGGCAGTCATGTTTCCTAACCTTGGAAGCTACATTGTCAACTTCCCAGCTGATCTATGCACACACACTCATACCACTTTGGCAAGGAAGAACCTCGTAAGAAACCAGACTAGAAATAAGAGCTGTCTGTAGGGAGGAGTAGAATATAGAGGCGGAGACTGAGATATGGAAAGGTTGAAGTGCAGCTCCTACTAAATTTATTTTAATCCATCCAAGTGATCCCAGAAACACCAGGACTGAAGGCTTATTAAACATTAGTAACTAAGGAGGACTTCCTTCTAAATAATTACTTGCTCCAACATAGTAATAGCCATGTAAGTGTCCTCGCCACAAGCACTATAAAGAAGAAGAAATGAAATAGCAGAAAAAAATGTCCTGGCCACAAGCACTATAAAGAAGAAGAAATGAAATAGCAGAAAAAATGTCCTGGCCAGAAGCACTATAAAGAAAAAGAAATGAGGAACAAAATTGAATACCTAGGGAGGAAAGAATGGCAAGGAAAATTGACATCTTAGAACAGACAATGGAAAACCTCACCCTGGAACTGAATGCCTTAAAAATTAGAAGGAACCAAACAGAAAATAGCAACTCAATGAGACAAAAAAAGTTAAACATCTCAAAACTGAAAAAAAAATGCAGAGGAAAATACAAGAAATACAATATTTAAAACAACTAACATGGAAAACAGGTCAAAGGGAGATAACCTAAGAATTATAGGACTAATGAAAATCATAACAAAAAATAAGTCTGGATACTCTATTTCAAGAAATTATGAATGAAAATTGCCAAGAACTCTTAGAACCAGAGTGCAATGTGAAAATAGAAAGAATTCACCAGTCACATCCTAAAAGAAATCTCAAAACAGAAACTCACAGAAATGTCAGAGCGAAAAATTCAGTGCTTCCAGGCCAAAGAAAAAAATATTACAAATATCTAAAAAGAAAGAGTTCAAATGCCAAGGAGCCACAGTAAGGATTACACAAGATTTGGAAGCCATCATCACAAAGAAGTAGAGAGCTTGAAATTCTATACTGCAAAAGGCAAAAGATAAAGGCTTACAACAGAACTGAGGCCAGAAATGAATAGATATTTTGAAATAAAAAATGCAGAAGCCAAAGAAATATAGAAAAATACACACCTTTATTTGTCAGGGAACATGTAGGAATGAATTGTTTAAATGCTATAGAGCATAGGAAATAAATGTCTTCTCAGTTAAAGGTCATAAAAAAGCTAAATATGACAAGAAGGCCTGTGGGGCTCAGGTAAAGATTTTTAAAAAGAGAGAGAAAGGGGATTTTATTGAAGAAGGAGAAGGAAGGGGATTAGAAATCATTATTGCATAATAGAGGTATATAAGATGAAAATATTTTTAATCATGAAGGAAGAAGAGGAGGGAATCAGACCTCCTATGAACCTTACTTTCATCTGACCTAGAAGATAAAACACAATTAAACACACACACACACACACACACACACACACATATATCTCAGTATAGAAATACATAGGAAAATAGTAAAGGGTAGGGACAAAGGAGATAGAAGGACTGAGGAAAGAACCATAAACAAAACAAATTCAAATTTCAGAGAGAGAAATCTGAAGGAAGAATAAAAATGAAAGGAATCAAGAATAAAAACCTGGGATTATGGCAGCACAAGGGTAAGAAAAAAGCTGTAATAGAGAAGAAATAGGCCATTTCATTTTAGATCACAAGTATTAGGCAACCTTCTTTTTATGATCTTCCTCTTATTTGTAAAAAGGAAGGTGGGAGTAATAGAGGAAAAGTATAAGACAATAGGACAGAGAGGAATCCCCAATTAACAATCATAGCTATGAACATCAATGGGATGAACTCACCCATAAAACAGAAGAGAACACAAGAATGAATTAGAAAACAGAATCCAATAATATGGTATTTACAAGAAACCAAAGAGTTAAAATGAGAGACTGGAGCAAAATCTACTATGCTTTAGCTAAACTCAAAGAAGCAAGAGAAGAATAGAAGAAGAAGAAGAAGAAGAGAAGCATAAAGAAATGTTAATTGCTCATTAATAGATTGGGCCAGTATAATATAAAAACAATATTATCTAAATTAATTTATTAATCAGTCTTATACCAATCAAAACTACCAAAAGATTCTTTTATAGAGCTAAAACAAAAAGACAAAATTCATATGAAGAGGTCAAGAATTTCAAGTGTAATAATGAAAAAAGTGGCAACAAAGTGTGTCTATCAGTGCCAGATCTCATATTATACTACAAAGAAGTTATTATTAAAATAATTTGGTATTGGTTAAAACAGAGGTCAGTCAGTGGAACAGATTAGGTACACAACATAAAGAAGCAAGAGAACACAATAGCACAGTGTAAGATAAACTCAAAGACCCCAGTTACCAGGGGAAGGACTATTTGACAAAAATTTCTCAGAAAATTGGTAAGCTGCTTGGCATAAATTGAGAATTAATCAATATCTCATACTGTATGTATGTATGTATGTGTGTATACATATATATATATGATAAATTCCAAATGGATACATGATTTTTTTTTGCTGACAAAACACATTTAACTGTATTCTCATATTCCATGTTTATACTTTAGAATATATTTGTGTATAAAATTTACGAAGAGAAACAAACAGTATCAGTTTAGAGAAAATCTACTCCATGCTGTTAGACTGTTAAGATAATTTTCAGATTCAAGTCCCACTGAATTTTAGAGGCAATATGATGCAGTGAACTGAAATTGGAGTCAAGGGTCCGAGGAAAGTTCTTGCTTTGACCATTGAGGCCATGCCTTGAGGCCATGGATTTACACTCTTTGGAACTCAGTTTCTTTCTTTTTTTTTTATTAATTTATTTTGATTTACCAACAATCACTTCCATAAGCTCCTGAGTTTCAAATTTTTCTCCTCCTCCTTTCCCACCTCCCTCCCCAAGATGGAGTACAATCTGATATAGGCTATACATATACATTCCTATTAAGCATATTTTCACATTAGTCATGTTGTAAGGAAGAATTAGAACCAATAGAAGGAACCACAAGAAAGAGGAAATAAAACAAAACAGAAGAAAAAAAAAGAGCAAATAGTATGCTTCGATCTGCATTCAGATTCCATAGTTCTTTCTTTGGGTGTAGATAGTATTTTCCATCATGAGACCTTTGGAGATGTCTTAGATCCTTGCATTGCTGAGAAGGGCTAAGTCTATCAACATTAGTCCTCACACAACATGGTTGTTACTGTGCACAATGTTCTCCTGGTTCTGCTCACTTCACTCAGCATCAGTTCATACAAGTCTTTCCAGGTTTTTCTGACGTCTGCTTGCTCATTATTTCTTACAGAACAATTGTATTCCATTACATTCATATGCCACCACTTGTTCAGACATTCCCCAATTGATGGAAATCCCCTCAATTTCCCATTCTTTGCCACCATAGAAAGGGCTGCTATAAATATTTTTGTATATGTGGGTCCTTTGGATACATGATTCTTACATAAAGGTGACATAAGCAATTTAGAAAAGCAAGGAAGAAATTATCTTTCAGATCTATGGATAGGGGAAGAGTTCATGACTAAACAAGTGATAGAGAAGATCACAAATAAGAAAATTGGTAATCTTCATTATGTAATATTGAAAATTTTTTACACAAACCTGATGTAGCCAAAATTAGAAAAGATGTAATTGGAAAAAAAGTAAGTTTCTCTGAGAAAGGCCTCATATCCAAGATACATAATGTATTAATTTAAGAGGCATTCCCCAATAGATAAATGGTCAAAGGAAAAAATCCACATTATTAATAGCCATGTGAAAAAAATGATCCATCAGAATACAAATTAAAGCAACTCTGAGGTTCCTCCTCATACCTATCAGAAGAGCAAAGATGAAAAAAGAGGAAAATGACAAATATTACAGGAACTACAGGAAAAAAACACAGTAATGTATTGTTGGTGGAGTGGTGAGTTGGTCCAGCTATTCTAGAAAGCAATTTGGAACTATGCCCAAAAAGTCACTAAACTCTGTATACCATTTGACCTAGCCATACCACTACTAGATCTGTACCTCAAGGAGATCAAAGAAAAGAAAAAGACCTATATGGACAAAAATATTCACAGGAACTCTTTGTTGTAGCCAAAAATGGAAATCATAGACGTGTCCACCTATTGGGGAATGGCTAAACAAATTGTGGTGTATGAATGTAATAATGTAAAGGAATATTATAGTGTCATAAGAAATAATGAAATGGAGAATTTCAGAGAAAATTGGGAAAATGATTATGCTCTGATACAAAATAAGTTAGTAGAACTAGCACAATTTTTACAATGGCAACAACATTATAGACAAAAGCAATTTTGAAAGACTTCAGAACTCTGATTTATTATGCACTCATAAATTATGAGTCCTGAGGACTGAAGATAAATCATGTCACTCACCTTCTGTCAAAGAAGTGATGAACATATATTCAAAATGAAACAATATATCTTTGGACATGGCCAATGTGGAAATTTATTTTAATGGTCTATGTGTGTTTGTTGTGAGAGTTTTGTTTTTAATTTTTTTTGAAAATTGTTCAGTGAAGGGGAGGGAAGAGAGAGGGAGAGATAATAAAAATTAATTTAAAAAAAAAAGAAACTAGGCCTTGGTTGAAAAAGACCTGGGTTTAGGCCCTGACTCCAACCCATCCTGTCTGTTTAATCGGTGACAAGTCACTAAACTTCTCAAAACCTTAAGCATCTCTATACACCATAAATTATAAAACAGTCACTAATCTGCATTAGTAGAGTTTCTGCAAGAGACATTTCCTATGCCAATGAACTAACATGTCTAGACCAAACAAACTTCAGAAGAAGAGATAATAAATAGTCACAGATAATGAAGACCACTTTTATTTATATTTTTACTTGTCAAGTCTTAGGGTAACCAGTTCAGGTGCCTTCTTTTATTTGTACTTTAAATTTAAACTGTGTTTTCTTCTTATCTAAAGCCTTTAAACTTTTCTGCTTCAGTCTTCATCTTTCCAGACTGAAGAGTACTGACTTTTCAGTTATCCCCATGCAGAGAACAATATCAGCATGGGTAACGCTATTTTTGCAATATAAATTTCTTAAATGCAAAGATAATACCTGTCATTATCCATTTTTTATTAAAGTAAAACTCACTCATTTGGACTAACTGGGATCCAAATGCCTGAATTAGCGAAAAAGTCTGAGCTCGAGACTATTTTTAGATAATGCTTTTCTATTTCACATACAAATAGTAAGTCAGTCTGGCAAAGTACTAGATTACTCTGAAGAGATGCTTTAGGAATTTAATGAGTGAAAATGTTATTTACATGCTAATTGTATGAAAATGGATGTTTATGCAGTCATTGAGAAAATTTTAAACAAAACACTCCCCTTAACTAGTTTAAGTCATTAAAACCTCAGCCAATAAAAGCACTTTGCTTTATAAACAAGGGTGCACTTCAGCCTAGCTCAGTATTGAATTAGTTCAAATTCTTGCTAGAGGAATCCAAATAAGATCTTGCTATATGTGTTTGCCCTTTATTGTTTATGTACATTTCTTTATGTTTGCCCTTTCATGTTTATGTACATTTCTTTACAAACTTGGTACACACAGTACAGCATGTTATGCAATAAACAGATGAAAAGAAAAGCAAGTAAATTCTTTCCAAGAATATTCCACAGGGATGTACTGGAAACTCAAAAATAGACTGAGAGTTTGCCTTGCGCCATGAAGACAGTCACCAAGTAGAAATCAAACACACCCATTTTCCCCTCTCTTTCAATTGTCAGTGTGCCACTTCATGAATACATTTCTAAAGAAGGCCCCCTCCAGCATCTTGGCAAAGAAAGGAAGTAAATTAGAAAACCTGACTGCTTAAGCGTGATCATAATACCCTTTTGAAGAAGTAGAAAGAATTGAAACATATCAACAATTTTTAATCATCTATGCTAATGGTAGGTAGGGAATGGCTTGAATGAATTGATGTGGGACATTTCCCAACTTCCATTTAGTTAAAATTTCAGGAATTGCAATACTGAGCAGATTTAGAGAACTGTGCCAGCTGCTGGGATCTCAATACAAAATTCCACAGAAATATTATGATACACTTATAGATTTCTGGAAAATAGCAGTTAGCTAGGCATGCATCCAGGGTGTTAGCAGACTATTGCTGAGGTCTAGAGGTTTAGGGGTGCTGGAACCCCAAGATCACGATGTGGGCCCTGCCTGAATGAATTCAACCCAAATCTTCTTCCAGCCAGAGAAAATGTTTATTAAAGATAAACCATACAGGCCAGACTCTTAAGGAATCGGAACATTAGTAACGCCCATCGGGGTGAGTGACCATGAGAAAGTCTTAGCCTTTGGGGCATGAGAAAGTCTCAGCCTTTGAAAGGGGATTAGGGTGGATATGCACTAAAGTAACTTTGGGTGGCCAGAGGAGGGGGCTGGGAAAAGGGTCTAGGTAAGAATTCCAATTGGAAGGTCTGAGAGATTGAATAGACAATGGGAATAGATAATGAGGGGGACTGGAAGGAAGAAGTTTGAAAGGATCATAAGGTGGGTCTAGGGCCTTCAAAGAGAGACAAGGGGAGTCAATAAGGAACCTGAAAGTTTAAGGGTTTTCTGGGACCTGTAGACAAATAGGAGCCAGATTCTTTTTAGGGCAAGGGGTGAAGGCACATCTGAATAAGATCAAAAGGTAGGGCTAAGGCTTTCAAAGGGAAATGAGGAGCTGGGGCCTGTAGACAAATGGAAGCCAGAGTCCCTTTGGGGCAAGGGGCGAAGATCTCGGCTTGGGCCCATATCCCATCACTATGAGGCAAAGATACCAACAGCAGCAATAAACACGAGCGATATTCCATCTTTGTGGTAGCGTTGAGGTTTAGGGGTGCTGGTGTTGAAGTTAGAGTTGGGAGAGCTGGTTTAGGTGTGAACAAATTCACTTAGACCTTTTCTGTAGCCATTTGTGATGAGTTCAGGGTGGACCCCAAGAATGTTGGAGTGCTACCTGAAATGATGAGGAATAGACGTGCAGGTCCTAATGTCCTGAAAGAATTCACTTGGATGGTCTCCAAGTTAATGTAACCAAGTGGGCCAACTCCCTGTGAGGCAGAGCATAGGCCACAGACCCTGCTCCCTTAAGGGAGAAAAACACTCCCTGCTTCCTGTAGGAGGCAAAGGCAGTTAGCCAGGTTAAAGGTATGATTTAAATACAATTTTATGGTATGGGGGAAGGGGACAAGAGAATGGGAAGAGTAAGCATGGCTCAAAAATGCCTGGGATATCAGGTAGTCTGGAGGTGATAAGCAAAGAGAACAGGAAAAGGGAAGGGAAGAATTGTGTTGGAATTGAGTGTGTTTTGTGAAAGCACAATGCATTTGATCACCTTTCTGGCTGGTCATATCCTGCATCCTGTCTCCTCTCTCACAGGCTGCTTGCTCCATCTGCCTCGAGCACTCTTTTCTACATCATTACTGGGATCCGAAATAGCAACATGCAGGTTTTGCTCCAAATGAATTCGACCCAAGCCTTCTTTCAGCCAAAGACAAGGTTTGTTAAAGATCTGCCATATCGGCCAGACTCTTAAGGAATCCGAACATTTGTGACACTTGTATGGGCAAGTGGGCTAGAGTGAATCTCAGCCGTTGGCCAGATCGAATCTGAGCACCTTAGCGGAGACATGATGGATCTTATATACAGAAAGACTGTGGGAGAGATCTAGGAGTGGCCAAGGAGTCTAAGGTAACTGTGAGGAGGGGTCTAGGGAGGATCTGTATGGGAGTGGCCAATAAGTTGGAGTGTAGGACGCCAAGAACCTGGACCACATGGCCAAGGGAGTCTGACATCTAGAGAGGATCGAGGACTGTAGGTCTAGGGTGGGGCCAGGGGCAGACAATTGATGGGGTGCTTGGGTGCTTGTAATAGGATCCCAATCTTGACCATATTTCTCCCTAGCCTCAGAAACACTATCCCTGGCAGTTTCTCCCCTGCCCAAGGACACTATGCCTGGCAGTATAATATTCATGAGGGGCCTCAGCAATACACTTATCTCTCTCCCTGGCACAGTTACAAACCGCACCTGTAGGAGTTATTAGTTTGAACTGGCTTTGTACTGGCTCATAAAGATATTCGTACCCATTGGACTATCTATAACAACTCCTTACCTCATTATCTGCATCCTGGACTCTTCATGTGTATCCTAGACTTAAGACATATGTATACTCCCTACATCTATCTTATCAAACAAGACTGATTGGTGGCAGGCTGGACGACTCTCAGTCAGCCCTGATGGATAGATAACTTAGTGACGTAGCAGACCTAAAAACCACACCTCCCTGTAGCTCCCTCTTCTGTTTTTCCTGGTGAACTTTGGGCAAAATGCCTGAATGGTAGATATAAAAAGTGCATGTTCCTTTAAGACGTAACCACTCTTTTTTTTTTTTTAATTAAGGCAATTGGGGTTAAGTGAGTTGCCCATGGTCACACAGCTAGTAAGTGTCAAGTGTTTGGTCTGAGGCCAGATTTGAACTCAGGTCCTCCTGACTTCAAGACCAGTGTTCTATCCAATGCGCCACCTAGCTACCCCCTTCACCACTTCTTAATCGCACCCTGAATCACCTAGTTAGCATATCTGGTACATGTTCTACTATATTTCATCTTATATAAACTTTAACTGAACCCTTCTAAGGTGGCAGGTTCCTTAAGAACTTTTGCCCACTGAAAAGCATAAAAACAAATCTCTGCCAACTTGACTTAAAGAATGTTTGAGTCCGTGAATTCATTCCAGATGACCCTGTCCTGTACTTTGGTCCTTGAGGAGGTCTCTGAACCTTTCAGACTGCAACATAATGAAAGGGCAGTTAATTAACTGGGAAGGGCGGATTGCCCCAGGTGAATGCCAGGGACCTGGGCCATGTGGGAAAGTCTAGGGCTTTTCCTTTTTGGGGTCCAGATCCCAAAGAAATGGACTTTTCCTTTTAGGGATTCAGACCCTGTCCCCGTCATTAGGCAGTATCAAAAAGGTTCCTGGTGTTGTTTTATTCATCAGAAAGTGTTAATTACCTATATCCTCTTCCTCAAATACAAATTCAACACAATTCAACTTTTAAAAATATATATTTCTAGACACAGCCAATGTGGCAATTTGTTTTACCTGGCTATGGATATTGGTTACAAGGGGTTCTCTCAGTGGGGTGGGAGGAGGTGGAAGGGAGTTAAAAAAAATGCTCATTAAATTTTAATTCAAAAGAAGAAAACAAGCATTTATTAGGTGCCTACTATGTTCCAAGAACTGTGATAAGCGATTTACAAATATGACTGCATTTGATTCTTCACAATAACTCTGTGAGGTAGGTAAGAACATTAAGCTCCATCTCCTAATATCCTTCCCAACTTTAATAATTCCTTATCCATTAGGTCCATCACCACTGCTTCAAAACGTGCCTAGGGCTTCCAGAATCACAGAATTTGTGAGCTGGAAGGTATCTCAGTAGTAAAGTAGTCCAACTCAACCACAAAAGAATCCCTACTATGATACACTCAACAACTGGGCATACAACCTCTGCTGGAAGATGTCCTAGGTGGAGAAACTCACCATCTTTCAAAGGAGTCCTTTACCTTTGGGAAGTTCTAATTGTAAGGATATTTTTCTTGACAACAAACCCAAAATTGACTCTTTGTGAATTACACTCATTGCTCCTGGTTCTGCCACTCTGGGGCCAAATGGAACAAATCTAATCTCTGCTCCACAAGGTGATTCTTCACATACTTGGCATGTCTTGTTCCTTCATTTGCTTTTCATATGACATATACTCCAGGCCTTTCCCCAACTGGTTGCCTTCCTCTGGATACTCACCAGCTTATCAATAACCTTTTCAAATTAAGGTGGCCAGCACTGAACACAATACTCCAGACAAACGGAGGGTGTAACACAACTGTCCATTCCCTATTCCTGGAAACTACGCATATCTTAATGGAGACAAAGGTCAAATTAGTTTTAGTTGCCATCTGATACTACCAATTTCTATTGAGCTTGCAGTTCACTACAACCCACAGATCTTTTTCAGAACAATGGCTATATCTCACCAGCTTATACAGTGAAATTGATGTTACGCCCAAGTTTGTGACTTTATATTTATCCCAATTAAATATGATCTTATTAAAATTAAAATACTATTTGGATCCTGACTCTATTGCCCAGTGTGTTATCCCCCATGCCAAACTTTATGTTATTTGATGAGCATGCTATCTATGTTTTTATCTAGTGATAAAATGTTAAACAACAAAGGGCCAAAGACAGATTCCTAGGATAACTAGGGATCAATAAAGAGAAAGTAGATGTTTCTTACTTATCTTAGGCACTCTACTGGATACCTCCTGCCATACTGCCATTGAGCATTTAACAAGTATTCTTTGAGTCTAGTCATCCATCTAATTGCATAAATATTTAGTATCTCTTCCACAAATAGAGGCCAACCATATCCACAACATTTCCTTGTCTTTTAGTTTAGTAATCCCATTAAAAAAAAAAAGGTATGAGATTAGACTTATGTAATACATGCAGCTAGGTGGTTCAGTGGATACAGAGTGCTGGACCTAGGATCAGGAGAACCAAGTTCAAATCCAGCCTCAGACACTCACCAGCTGTGTGACCCTGGGCAAGTCACTTAACACTGGTCTGTCTCAGTTCCTCATCTGTAAAAAATCCAAATGGAGTCATGAAGAATTGGACGTGACTTAAATGACTGAAAAATAACAAAATAAGTCCCACACAACTAGTCAGCAGGTTTAGGAAGACTATTATTCTCACTCTCTTCCTCTCCATTAACGGTCTTCTCTCAGCTCTGGAGCCAGTCTTAGAAGAGCCTGGCCTCTGAAGAGAGAGGTCCCTTGTTCTCTTTAATTATTTTGCTTGTTATACTCCTCACCCTGGAGTACTAGGAAAAACCACCTATACAATGCTTAAGTTTGGTTCATGTCTATGGTGTTTCTGAAATGTGGTAGTAAAAAAGTACTCAGTGTATAAAGCAAATCAGGTATAGGCCAGCTATTTATAAACACACACACACACACCCTATTAGCAAATATTTAAACGAGGGACAGTAATTTCAAAGTACCGTTCTAGTCTCTTGAGAGGCTGACATTTAAAGCAACAAAATATGAAATATTTTGTGGGACTGCTGAATTGAGATTTCACTTTCAAGTCCAGGTCCATATCCTCTAAAGAGCAAGCCAGGCTGGGGGGTTTGGCTCACCCACAATGGGTGGTCATCTCCTCCAAAGAGCACTGTAGTAGTTGCTGGAGCTCTTCCTGAAGTTAAGTTGGCACCGAAGACTCAAGGAGCTCCCAACCTCTCGAACTCACAATGTTGCCCTCAAGGCTTGAAACATCCATCATAGGATGGCTATTCAGTCACCTACACTCAGGAATGAGACAGAAGAGGCAGCCCAAGAATCAATCTAGGGCTTGCCTAGAAATGACACATCTTCTCTTCTATACTAATAAGCACCATGTTAATCTACCTCCTGGACCCCTTGTGGGACTTTCTGAAGAGGGAATGTTGCGCATCTGGAAAGAGAAAAGAAAAAAGACAAAGTGGCGCCTGTTTCTTCTTTTTAATTGAAGTACGGCCCGCTGCGATCACAAGGTAGGAAAAAGGGCCAAGGGATCGCTTACACTATACCAAACCTTCTGAAAGCACACAAGTCCTTTAGAACGTGACCAGAAAGAAACACCCAGGGCTCCCTGAGTGGTGTTCTGTCCAGGACAGCAGGGGGGCCTGTTTATCTACCATTACCTGGGATGATCTGTTTTAGAATTCTCCCAGGAGTCCCATCAAGCTCGTTGGTTTAGAGTTGGCAGACTATGTCATCTTCCCCTTTTTTTTGAAAATTGGGATATTTGTCCTTCTCCAATCTCATGGCTCTTCACCTGTGTTCTATAGTTTTTGAAATATCACCAACATGACTCAGTACTAACATCTTCTAGGTTTGTTTTTGGTTTTTTCCTGTTAACTGACGATGAAGTTCATTAGAGCCAAGTGAATTAAGTCAATTGAAGGCAATTAAGTACTTCTCTTATCTTAGGCACAAAGCCCTTACTTTTATTCTGTCATTTCTGAGCAAACAGAAACAAAATGAGACGGGAACAACTCTTTCTTTTGTTTTTAGTTATTGTTCCACCCACTGTCTGTGAAGGTCCTCTCCTCTTTGATCATGATTCTCCTCCCCAAATTGCCTCCCAAACCAAACCAAATCAAACCCTCTCTTCATTGTCAGTGGCTTCCCTCTGCAGCCTCAGCTCACTCTGAATTGTAGCACGCCTGAAACGATTTTCACAGGACTTTCCAACGCTTGTCTCCACTGTGTCTGGCCTTGCTTCTATCTTCCCGCCCATTTTTCACACAAAAAGGTTCAGATGAATTATAGGCTAGGATGCCATGGAATAAAATGTTTGAGAAGAAGTCAGGCCAGGAGGAATGGGAAGATGTTCAAGAACAAAATTCTGAAGCCACCAAGGAAGAATTCCAGTGAGGAGGAAAAATGGTATTTGTCTTAAGGGACAATTTAAATTTAGAGACAGAAAAACCCTTTCTCCTCACCTCTGCCTCATGGAAAACCTAACTTCCTTCAAAAGACTAGCTGGCACAGTGGATAGAGCACAGGCCCTGGAGTCAGGAGGAACTGAGTTCAAATTCAGCCTTAGACACATAACACTCACTAGCTGTGTGACTCTGGGCAAATCACTTAACCCCAATTGCCTCACCAAAAAAAAAAAAAATTCAGGTGCCACCTCCTAACCAGGACCTTTTCTAATCCCCCCAGTTATCAGTATCCATCTTGAATTCACTTTGTATGTTCTTTGTCTATAATTAATTGAGTACTGTCACATGCCCTGCTTAAGCACCCTATGGATCATTTTGTCTTATGTCTGCTCGTCTACTATGCCTTCCAGGACCCAAGAACAGTTCATCCAACCTGCCGTTCAATTTCCTATATTTGTATGTTGTCTCCCCATTGGAATGTAACTTTCTTGACAGCAGGGACTGTCTCAAATTTCTGTTCATAGTCCCAGCAGTTAACACAGTGTGTTACACATTTAAGTATTTAATAAATGCTTATTCAAGATCCAAGAAAGGCAGGGGAGGGATGTTGCTGTGGGAAATGCATTAATTAAAAAAACAAGTTCGAATAAAAGAGTTGACTCTATGTAAATTAGTATCATGTTTTTATGCTTCTATACCGTAATTCAGAATTTCTTTCCCATTTACTGTCATGTCAGGCAGATACAGTTTTTATCTTTTACAGCTGCTCCTTAAAAATTTCAATGCCATTGAGAGGCAGCCTGATTGAGTGGACTGGGAGCTGGGTTTGGAGTCAGAAAAAACCCAGGTTCAAGTCTCATTTCTGAAACATATTGGCTGTGAAAACCTGAGCAATTCACTTTCCTTTTCAATGTTCAGCAGAACTAGGACTATACAATGCAAAACAGTTGCCCATCTGCATTGGGAGAGGGAATTTCTAGAACATAAGTTCCCTACACTGCTGCTACCATAAATCTAAAACAAAAATGAAAACTGCAATACCAAAAAGTAAATCATAAGTATGATTTAGAGAAAGTGGAATTAAAATTTAATAAAAGGAAAATTCCATTTCAATCAGTAATAAGTTTGCGTTAGTCTTTATTAAAACAGAAAAGCAATACAATTTTCAGACACTGAATTACATGATATTTACAAAAATATACAAGGGAAGAATAGAAGATATCATATCTCTTCTGTACTAGTGGTATGGTAGGTTTCAACTGTTTTTTTTTCTTTCTGTACAGATCCCAGTTTGTTAAATCCAAGATGACAGAGAAGTAACATCCTTTTGTACCTAGAGTAAAAAAAGTAAACTCAATCAATATAATACTGAGCAAAACAAGCATTTCCAAATCAAACTGTGTCATAAAACACTAAACAATTCTTTTTATTAAATTGCCAAGTTAAGATATATAGGACTAATTAGAAGTCAGATAAATAAACAGCACGCAAATAGCAACTCCCACTCCTGATACTGACAAGACATTCTAGCTTTGGTCTTCACTCTTCTCCCAGGTACGCTCCTGATTCTCTGGGCTTCTCCACTAAGCTCCAGCAGCCCTCTGCCCCTAGAAAGTACCTCTACCCCAGCAGCCTCCTCCTCTGATTAGTGATTTCCTCCTAGAATCTCCATTTTAATATAGAGAAGAAGAGAAAAATGGAAGGAAAAAAGAAAGGAAGGAAAGAAGGAAAGGAAGGAAGGAATCTGTTAAGTGCCTACTATGTGTTAGACACTGTGCTAAGCCCTTTACAAAAAGTATCTCATTTGATTTTCAAAACTCTGAGAGGTAAGTGCTATTAGGACCTCCAATTTAAAGATATGAAAACTGAGGCAAGGAGAGGTTAGGTGACTTGACTGAGGTCACACAGCTTATTGCCTAAGGCAGAATTTTAGCTTAGATCTTTCTGATCCCAGGCACTGTGCTTCATGCACTATTTCCCTTAGTAATCTCATCAGCACCCATAGATTTAATTATCACCTCTATGTTAATGATTCTCAATCTACTTATCCAGCCCTAACCTGTCTCCTAATTTCCATTCCCATTTCTAACTGTGCCTCATCTCAAACTGGATGTCCCATAGACATTTTAAACTTAACATGTCTAAAACTGAACTTATTATCATTCCCCCAAAACTGTCCCCTCTTCCAAGAACTTTCCAATTACTGCTGAGGGTACCAGCATCTTCCCAGTCACCCACACTTATAACCACGGTATTATCTTCACATCCTCATTCTCATTTCATCCAACATGTCCCATATACTGCGTGGCTTGCTTCAAGACAACTCAAAAACCTCTTTCTTAAGGAGGCCTTTCTCAGTTCCTCCCAGTTACTACTGCCTTCCCACCTGAGATCACCTTCTATTTACTATCTAACTTGTATGTGCCCAGTTATTTAAATGTCATATGCAACATTAGAATGAGAGCTCCTCAAGGGCAGGGACTGTTTTCTCTTTGAGTACCTAGAATTTAGCACAATATCTGGAACAAAGTGTTTAATAAATGCTTGTTGATACAATATTTCAATTCTCTATTTCCTGTGCTTCTGTGCTTTCAGGCCCACTAATTCTCAAATGCTGATGACAAAGCTTACACAGTATCAGTCTCTGTTGGTGACCTCAAGAGATTTCTAAAACACGCTTTTTCCTCCCTCATCTAAGTAAATGTCTGTTGAACTATTGCTTGAACCTGATCCTGCCTCCACCCCCTTGTAGTTAGTTTTATAATGTTAATGTTTATATTCCAACTCCACTCTAGAAAGAAAGCAACAGGTAACTCATGTCTTTCTACTCTATTTAACCAGAAAGAGATGGGGAAGAACAAAGCTGAGGCAGCAAGGACTCAGTTACTTCTTAAACAAATACAAGTTCATAGGAAAATAGATTTGAGGCTTGGGGAGGTCTTAGAATTTATCTAGTCCAGCCTCATTATTTGATAGATGTCAGGAAACTGAGGCCCTGGGATGTTACATGAATTTACTTTAGCTCTATCTTTGCATATGATGGATTGAGGAAATTAGAAAAGTCACTAATGATAAATATTATTTGTTAAAAGAACTGTAGCCAAAATCTCAACTCCTATGTTTCTAATGACATAAGTGACAGTAAATGTTTTGAGAAAAAAAAATCAAAGATAATAAAATGTTTTGTCATTCATTACCTTATTGAGTTCTGGGAAAAGCTCTTGTATCACAATGTCCAATAGAACATAAGTCAACTAACATGCCAAAAAAAAAAAAGGAGGAAAAATTTGTATTAAAAGGTAATAGTCAAAGAAAGTTGTAAAATTGCTCAACACCACATTATTTCTCTTGACAACAACTGTCTCCAAAGCAAAGTGGTTTAAATCCATAGTTAATAGTTTTCCTGACATCCACAGAATTTCTTAGTTTGGAGAAATTCTAATATAAATAGTTATTCTTGTGCTCTATCCCTGGCCTCATACTACTAAAGGACTCTAACTAAGACAATGTCTCAGAGAAAGATTCCACCTTTAATAAAGGGTACCTGTTTGTTGAGTACTGGCTGCTGGAGGCCATCAAACAGAAGTCTGATACCTTCATACTTAGCTTCATCACCAATGCATTTACCTATAAGATCTAAAGAAAGCAACAAATATTAGGATTTTTTTTAAAAATAAGATTACTGTAACATACTTAAATCTCCATCCTGTTTTGAGCCATTCTCTCTATCTCTGTCTTTCTCTCTCTCAGGTTAACATCATGCATTATCCTTTTAGCCTTTACATAAATATTCGTTGTTCTAAGTTTCATTAAAATTTTTAAATGGCATTGCTCCCAACTTTAGAGAGGTAAAAATAACCTAAAATAAAAAGCTTTAATTCATTTTATAAGGACTATACAGAAAACAAGTTATTTTTTTCTCATTTATCTACTCAAGAAAATTTAATTTTTCACTGTCATGAATATACTTAGCCAGGTTAATTTGCCTTAGGTCATCTCTGTACTCAACACACACTTAAATACCTACTACATACCAGGAAATAGGGATAGAAAGACAAAAAAGCAGACAGTCCCTGCTCTCAAGGAGCTTATTAAATTCTATATGCAAGGGATCAGACTAGTTTTAACCTGTCTAACCATTTAAACAATCAATCAATTTATAACAAGCATTTGTTAAAAGATCCATAGTATGACCAGGCTCTGTGCTTGGTGCTGGGGATGTGATTGTTTAGTAATCTTCAGTTGTGTCCAACTCTTCATGACCCCTCTCTGGGTTTTCTGGGGGCAAAGATGCCATTTTCTTGTCTAGCTCACTTTACATCTGAGGAAACTGAGGCAAACAGGGTTAAGTGACTTGCCTAGGGTTACACAACTAGTAAGTGTCTGAGGGCACATTTGAACTCAGGTCTTGCTGACTCCAGGCCCAGCAGTCTATCCATTATGCCACCAAGCTGCCCATTATTGGGAATACAAAGACAAATGAAATAGCTCTTCCTTTCAATGAGCTTCTATTCTACAGGGAGTAAGACAACATGTACACATATAAGCACACAGAACATTTACACACAATAAATACAGTGTAATGTGGGGGATGGGTGGGACTTTCAGGAAAGGCCTTATGTAGAAGGACGACCTTAAAGTTATACATTAAAGTAAAATAAAAATTTGAAGGGGTGGAGATAAAGAGAGGGTACATTATAAGCGTGGGGAATAGTCTGTGTAAAGTCATGGAGAAGGAATATGAAATCTCATGTAGGTGAAAAAAAAAAGAAACCATTTCGTTCAAACCAGCTATACGGTTATATGCAAAATGTGTGTATGTGTGTGTGTGAAGGGGGAGAGGATATGGTGATGACTAACTTGATTACGATTTGTTAATAAAATGTTTCTCAGAAGTTATTTAGCAAATGTCCTTAGAAACCTCAAGATTTAGTAGTTAATTCATTCAATAATTTCACATGGAAAAAAAAACAAGATTTTTTTCTTGTAATCCTTCAATCTATCAACTTTTTAATCTATTTTTTATTAATTTATTTTGATTTATCAACAATCACTTTTGAGTTTTAAATTTTTCTCCCCCTCTCTTCCCTCCTCCCTCCCCAAGAGGGCACACAATCTTAATCTAGCAATTTTTATATAAAACAATGTGTAACTGGAAACACAAGTATATCATCCTTATTAACTTTGTGAAATAAACATTTTATCCTGAAATTAACCATAACTTACTTTATTTTGTGACTTTAGTAAAGTGTAATAATTCAGATTTTACAGAAGAAAATCGAATCTTAATTATTTTCTACAAATATTGCACCTGGAATGTAGTTCATCATTTCTTCAAAGGTCTGTTTTGCTCTTTTCTGCTTGTCTTGGAGAGAACGAGGTTCACTGTTTTCACAGAACACAGCATCTGAAAGGACAAAACAGAAAGGTCTGTGGAAATTCTAAATTGTTTATGGCCAAGACATCAAGCTACACAAGGAAAAGAATAATAGTCATTCTCTTTATCCTAAAGTTCATTCAAAGTTTAACCAATGAACAGCAGTACTTTCTGTCCTCACTCCTGTTCCTAGGATTCTCCCATGTGTCTACTCAAATAAAAAAAATTCCCTGTCCAGGCTAAGTAACAATTATATTAAATAAAGAAAAAAGTCTGAAAAGCGTACAATCTTGATTGAGGACAGATTAGTTAAAAATTGGGAAGGATGACTATATCTCAAATATATGGTCTATATCTCAAAGAGATCATAAAAAAGGGAAAAGGACCCACATGTACAAAAAATATTTATAGCAGCTCTTTTTGTGGTGGCAAAGAATTGGAAACGAAGGAATGCCCCTCAATTGGGGGATGATTGAACAAGTTGTGGTATATGAATGTAATGGAATACTACTGTTCCATAAGAAATTATGAGCAAGCAGATTTCAGAAAAACCTGGAAAGACTCATATGAACTGATGCTGAATGAAGTGAACAGAACCAGGAGAACTTTGTACATAGCAACAGCAACACTTTTCAGTGACTAACTTCGACAGACTTAGCTCTTCTCAGCAATGCAAGGATCTAAGACAACCCCAAAAGAGTCATGATGGAAAATGCTATCCACATCCAGAAAAAGAACCATAGAGTCTAACTGCAGATCAAAGCATACTATTTGCTCTTTTTTTTGGTTGTTTCTTCTTTCTTATGCTTCTTCCCATTGGTTCTAATTCTTCTTTACAACATGACTAATGTGAAAATGTTTAATTGAATGTATATATAGAGCCTATATATGATTGTACCCCGTCCTGGGGAAGGGACAGAGGGGGAGAAATTTGAAACTCAAAATCTTATTGAAGTAAATGTTGAAAAGTAAAAATAAACTAATTTTTTAAAAAAAATTTAAAAAAAAAGACACAGCGAGCTTTAAAAGGCCCTCTTCTCAGGGTCTTTGGTCATTGAGAGAGGCCACTCACCCAATTTATTGGTTATTGCTAGCCTAACTAATAAGCTGATCATGCTAAGGTCCCTGGCTTTTTGGCTGAGATGCCCAGTGTGACCTATGTCATTAATAGTTTAATGTATCACTATTAATAAATCATTGTTTTGCCCAGAAAAAAAAATTGAAAGGGATAGATATTTGAAAAACTAAGAGACCTAGAAACATTTGCAAAAAGACCTACGTACTTCCAAAAAATCTTATGTGGGGCTTTTTTTTTTTTTAGATGAAGACCAAAATCTTTACTTTTAAAATGCTTATTGATTTTTTCTTTTTAAAACATTTACTTTTAAGTTTTCAGTTCCAAATTCTCTCCCTCACGTCAGCCACTTCTCCATCCATCAGGAAGGCAAGCACTATAATCCCCATTGTACATATTATGTCAGACAAAGCATACTTCCAAATTAGCTATGCTGCAAAAATAAATAAATAAATAAAAAGGCAAGAACAAATAAATAGGAAGCAAAAAAGGAATTTCTTTTAAAAAAATCATGTAGTTTTGGTTTTCAATATTCACTTTTATTAGCTTTTGAGTTCTGAATCACTCCCCCCTACTCCTCCAAGATGGCATGCAATCTGATATAGGCTATACACATATGATCATATTAAACATATTTCCACATTAGTCATGTTGTAAAGAAAAATCCGAACCAAAGGGAAAAATCATGAGAAAGAAAACACAAAAAAAACACAACAAAAAAAGAGAAAATAGTATGCTTCAATCTCCATTCAGACTCCACAGTTCTTTCTCTGGATGTGGATAGCATTTTCCATCGTGAGTCTTTTGGAACTGTCTTAGATCACTGCATTGCTCAGAAGAGTTAGGTCTAACAAAGTCAGTCATCTCATAATGTTGCTGTTACTGTGTTCTCCTGGTTCTGCTCATTTCACTCAGCATAAGTTCATGAAAGTCTTTCCAGGTTTTTCCGAAATCTGCCTGTTCACCATTTCTTATGGAACAATAGTATTCCATTACATTCATATACCACAACTTGGTAAGCCATTCCCCAACTGATGGGCATCCCTCTATTTCCAATTTGTTGATACCACAAAAACAGCTGCTACAACTATTTTTGTTCATATGGGTAAATTTCCTTTTCCTTTGATCTCCTGGGAAGAACTGGCATTGTTGGGTAAAAGGACATGCAGTTTGATAGCCCTTTGGGCAGAGTTCCAAATTGTTCTCCAGAACAGAGCACTTCACAAGTCCACCAACAGTTCATTAGTGTACTTATTTTGCCGTGTTCCCTCCAACATTTGTCATTTTCCTTTTCTGTCACGTTGGCCAATCTGATAGGTGTGAGGCTGTACCTCAGAGTTGTTTTTGTTTGAGTTTCTCAAATTATTAGTAATTTAGAAATTTTTCTCCCTATGACTACTGACAGCTTTGACTTCTAAAATTTTCACATTCATATCCTTTGACCATTTACCAACTGCGAATGGCTCTTATTTTTATAAATTTGGCTCAACTCTTTATACACATATATATTTCAGAAATGGGAACTTTTTGAGAGAAACTTGCTATAAAAATCCGCAGGGTCCCCTCCAAGACCCAGCAACATCACTACTTGGCCTACATCCCATAGAGATTAAAGCAAAAGAAGAAGCACCTATATTCACAAAAATGTCTGGAATAATTGAAAATTGAGGGGATGTCCATCAACTGGGAAATGGCTGAACAAGTAGTGGTATATGACTGTGATGGAATAATATTGTGCTATAAGAAATGATGAGCAATATAGTTTCAGAAAAACCTGAGAAGTATTATATGAACTGATGCAAAATGAAGTAAACAGAATCAGAAGAGCATTGTACACAGTAACAAGAGTACTGTAAGGACAATCAACTGTGAAAGACTTAGCAAAACTGATCAAGGCAGTGATCAAATACGATTTCAAAGGACCCGTGATGAAAAATGCTATCCACCTCCAGAGAGAACTACTTTTTTCACTTTGTGTTCCTTGCCTTTTAATGTTGGTGTTTTATTTTTCACTATGGCCGATATATGTTTTGCATGTCTTCACATGCATAATTTATATCATATGGCCTGCCTTCTCAATGGGAGGAGCAGGACAGAGGGAGAGAATTTGGGAGTCAAAAGAAAAAAAATTTTTCTAACTAGAAATTAAAGAGAAATAAATAAATATAATAAACTAATTAAAGTGAAAAGTAATTAAATAAATACAATAAGAAAAATTTCTCTGATTTTTAACTTTCCTTCTAATTATTGGCTTTGTTTGTACAAAACCCAAATTATCATTTACCTCCTGTGATCCTCTTATTTGATCATAACCTCTTTTTCAAAAAAATCTTTCAACAAGAATCTCTAGCCAAAAACATAAGTATTTAAATGAATTGGTATTTGAAGAAGATTGGGGGGGGGCCCCCCGCAGGCTGGACGATGGCACAGGCCTCCTGTAATTTGCACAAGTGGCCGCTCATGGTCTACCTGTAGATCTAAGGATGGAGGCAAAGTGGGTGGATCCCTTCACTAGAGGCTATTTCTATAGCCTATGGGATAATCCTGTCAAAAGAGGTGGAAATGATGCAAGGGGGATCCCATCACAAGAGGCAGGACTGTCACAGGGACGGCCCCTGTCACAAGGTAAAGAAATGAGGTGAGGCAGCGTGCTGGCTCAGCATGAGGAGGCAAGGTGGTGAGCTCAGGTTCCTTGCACCTGTGGGGAGCCGTGAGGAGGCTACTGCTGGCCCCCGGGCCGAGGCCGCCCCTGCGAGCTGGCGTTGGGGGGCCGGGCCGCGGGCTCCACCTGGCCTGGCCGCCGCCGCTGAGTTGGTGGGCAAGCGGCACTTTGCCGGCATGGGCTCTGTGCGGCCCCGGACCCCCTGCGTGGGGTGCCAGGGAGTGGCGGGGCCTGTGGGATGAGGCCGACATCCAGGGCAGCTGCGCCTGGGCAGGCAACCACTGCGATGGCAGCCCCGAGGGCGGAAGCGAGGAGGGCCCGGCCACCAACGCCCTCACGCCCGTGATGATTGCAGAAACCTTCCCGCATGTGCCGCTCATCGCCATCACCCACAACCCCATGTTTCCCCGCTTCATTAAGATCATCGAGGTTAAAAATAAGAAGTTGGCTGAGCTCCTAAGGAAGAAAGTTCACCTTGCCCAGCCACATGCGGTGTCTTCCTAAAGAGAGATGACAACAATGAGTCTGATACGGTTGAGAACCTGGATGAAATTTACCACACTGGAACTTTTGTCAACATTAATGAAATGCAGCTCCGAGGGGACAAGTTGCGGATGATAAGTCATGGGACACAGAAGGATTCGTATAAACAAACAACTAGAGGTAGATCTGGAGGAGCTGGAGCCAGAAAATGAACAGAAAAGGAAAAAACCCAAGCTAACCAAGACAGAGGCAGAGAAGGAACAAAGTGTCAAGAACCACGTGGTGGACCTGGTGGTAGAACCTGTCACCAGTTCTAGAGATGAAATACTTATGGTAGAAGTGGAAAATGTAGTCCATGAAAATTTCCAAGTCAATGAGGAAGTGAAAGCCTTTATTGCAGAAATTGTTCAGACAATTCGGGATATCATTTCTTTGAATCCCTTCTATAGAGAGTCTGTGATTCAGATGATGCAGGTTGGGCAGAGCCCTCTGGACAATCCCATCTTCCTGAGTGACTTGGGGGCAGCACTGACAGGAGCCACATCTCAGGAACTACAAGATGTGCTGGAAGAAACAAATATTCCAAATCAGCTCTACAAGGCCCTCTCTCTGCTTAAGAAGGAATTTGCACTGAACAAACTGCAGCAGCGTTTGGGCCAGGAGGTAGAAGAGAAAATCAAGCAAACTCACCGCAAGTACCTTCTGCAAGAGCAGCTAAAAATTATCAAGAAAGAGCTGGGCCTGGAGAAAGACGACAAAGATGCCATTGAGAAGAGATTCCGAGAACATTTAAAGGAGCTTGTTGTTCCC